TATACCTTTGTGAACTTTTAGAAAAGGCTATTATTTACCGCAGTCATGATTTAACGACAACTCTAACCATACAATACCAAAAATTTGGGTTTTCAACAGGCTATGGCACAACACAAGCACACCACTCACCCACATTAATGTGCATTACTTGAATACATTCCCTACTGCTTATAACACTGAATATAAAGGTCTTCCTTAGATATCTGAGTAATCAATACTTGGAATAAAATAAGTCATGTTTCACCAGGGAAGAGGAAAATGAATGAGGTTAAATTAATGCTGCCACTTTCTATAAACCAGCAATGGTTTCCCGCTACAGAAACCGCTAACTTCATTATTTTACAACAGGAAATCAACGCTGTAGCATATTTTAAAAGTCTAATTTACTTAGAGTAATAAAAAGGCACCCTCAAGGCTCATCATGTATGTCATATTATGCTTAGTTTTAAATATTTCAGCTTAAGAACAGTATACAAAAATCTCTGCAAATCAAGCTGATTAATATTTTGCATTTGTATGCAGTAGTGCTCTCCACTCACTAAGTACTATATAAATATTATTTTATTAAATTTCAAAGCAATTGTGTTAGGTGGGATAATAAAATGTCTCTGTCTTACATTCTTTATCTCAGTAATACAGCCTTTTAAACAGAAGCAACAGCAGTAAATTAACACAGCACACTCACTCATGGAAAGAAGGTCAGAAATGATGGAATGGCAGACTTCTAAAGCCACGATAAGACTAGCAGGGCACAGAAATCTACATTCTAAGTAGGAGCATCTACATGAGGTTTGCAGGTGTCTCCTTACCTTTAATTGTATGGTTAGAGAAAAATTTAGGGATATCTTTTAAATGTCTAGTACTCAGAGTTCACAGTTCCTTTTTGCAGGAACCCCATTTCATGACAATGCTGCTGGAGGGCAACCAGCACCACTAGGGAAAAGCTGAGAGGACAGAACAAGAACACACGTGAAAAATGAGTTGGAATAATAAATTAAAAAAAAAAAAATCGCAAACAATGAAAGAGGTAACAGAACTTCATCTCTTTCTCATTTCTAGCCCTGTATTTTACCTAATACAGAATTCTGCTTTTTGGAACAACGTCTCCTTGCCTGCCAACTGACTCCTAGCTCCTCTTTTAAAACTCACTCCTTAATACCCGTTTCTCCCAGAAATCCTTCCAATAGTGTCTTATTTTCTATTCATAAATGGTCATTAAAATTACGGTAGATCAATACAATATTTTGTTAAATTATTATTATATTGTCAACTTCAGTAGAAAGTCAAAAAGACATATCCTTACCCTAACAAATACTATTCTTTTCAACCACAGCACATAAAAGCAAAAGCTACTGTAAATCTGGCCTTAACTAACATGAGTCTCTAAAAGTCTGGAGCTCCTAATGGCAGTTAAGAGACTTTCTCAATTCACCATTAACCAACCCATCAAGTGTATTTATTAACTGTGGCACTACACTTCAGAATTTCCATGTTTCAATGTTACAGTTTGCTGCATACAGCCTCCTGATCAAGGAATAGTTCGCGATATTCAAGTCAAAGAAGTGATGTTAGCCCTTGTATTCATGCAATTTGCCATTTTGGAGATTTTCATAGGCTCTTGAAGAGGAGGAACTTGCCTGATTCATTGGCTATCTCTCTGTAACAACCAAATACTTTTCCAATTACACTTCATATTTCAACATATTTGTTAAAATACTGAACGGAGATTCTCTTGGAACATTTCCCCCAATAGTAATTCCCCACAGAATTCCATCTAAAGAGCCAAAGTGGGACACAAGTGAATTGTAATATGGCTCTACGACTGATGGCCTTAACAAAATAAATGCTATAATTAGCATCAGTATGTAGAACATCAACAGGATTTTTATCGCACTCCAAATAGTCACAGTAGTGTTAATAACTTTGACCTCCAGAAGAGAATAATTTTAAAATTTCCATGCAAAAAGCAGTATTTCATGTCATATTTTTATACTCATATACCTTCATTTTGATAACAGATCTAGAAGCACATGTATTAACTCCCATTTGACTTCAGTACAATACACACGTGAATGTCAGATATACAGATCCCTTTCAAGTATTAGAGAAACATAAGGAACTTGTTGGGAACGTAAACAAATATTACTACAAAACTGCTTGAATATGTAAAGCTGACATAACACACGGCTGAATCCTACATACAATGGACAGCATGTACCAACATAGAAGACGAGGGTCACAAATCTGTACGTCTGGGATTGTCTTTAATGATTTTTGGTGAAGGCAAACTATCAAGCCCATCATCTCAAAGAAGCCTTTACAAAGAGTCTAACAAATCAGCTATAGCAAATACTCTGGAAAATCATATACTCTGGTTTTCAGGCTGGTCACATACTGAAAGAATTAAATAGCCCCTTGGTTTCATTCATATCAATTAGAATAACAAATTCTACCATAACAATACTGGCTCATCCTCAGCATGTAATCTATTGTCTTATTTATAAAGGGGCAAGATTAAAGATCTTTTAAAAACCCAAATATTGCATCCCAATTATCTGCAATAGCTGATAATGTGCACACCCAGAAATATAATCACTCCCAATCTGATAAGCTTACAAAAGTTTAAAGCTGTGCATTAAACTAGTTGTATATCTTGAACTTGATCACTTCTGTATTCTGGTGCCTATAAAAATACTGCATCAATAATATTTGATCACGTATTTTAATTTAGTAAGTTTATAAGAATTTTATTTGGGTATGAATGGAGAGGGCTATTGGAGAAAACAAACAAGCCCAAAAGGGAAAACAGAGAATGGTTTGATCTGGAATTACTAAAAAGAATTTTTGTTGAAAAGTCTTAAATCCTGGAAGCGGGCAACAGTTTAATACAGCAATCAGAAAAGCAACTTGCCAAAAATGTTTAGATGTCAGTATCTAACTCTAGGGTTTTATGTACCTCAGTGGTATGTAAATGCTAAAAGACTTTGAAAATCAAGCCTTTTATCTCTGTATCTTAACATGTATTAAGATGATGACTTACAAACAACCACATCTAACCATTTTGTGCCAGATCCTAACCCAGTATAAAGAGATCAGCTTTATTTGGTGAAGTTGTGTCAAGTTATACCGTGGCTCTATCCTTCCAACTCTTTTTTCCAACTGAATGACAATAACAACAGTGACAACTAGGTAAATATATTTTTTTTTCCCGCTAAAATCAAAGAGCACATATTAATAAGATAAACACCTTTGAGTTTAAAGATGATGTGTACACTGCAACATGGGTCTCCACGTTACTGCTCAGAATAGAAACGGTGACCATTCTTCAAAGGGCAATGTAGATCTTTCTTTTTTAAAAGCATCTCATTTGCTCTGGAAAATGAGCCAAGAGTAGAAAGATCATAGCACATCTCCATCTTAATTACTTTTCCATCAAGTATAACGTCATTTAGGCATTAAAATCTTAGCTGTTCCAGAAGGTGCTACAAATCTTTATAATAATATACTGGACATAAATTTTCTATCACTGTTAATTCAGTGCTTTAAAAATATAAAAAAGGTGGAACACACAGGTGAGGCAAAGTGCAATGTGTTAGGGAAATTTATTTACGGAAAATAGTTCTGCCAGTTAATTTGTTTCCAAGAGGTCCAATAAATGAACAAGTCTAAACACTGATTTCTTATAAAATGTAATGTTTGGGTTTGAAGTTTTTTGACCCATGTTTCTTCACCCATGAGTTGACCTTCTGTAACCAGTTAATAGCATTATTCATTAGTGATTAGAAAGGGCCTTTTCTATGCAGTGAATTTGTTGCATCCTAGCTCCCAATAATTTAGGAAACTATGATCACACACATACTGCTGCTACAACCCTCCATACTCCCTGGCTACTTCGCTTTCTACCAAATAAAACAGAACAGGTGTTTTGTCCTGTAAGTAGATATGCAAACAGGTTTAAAAAGCAGAATATAATAGGTAAACAGAATTATCATAGAGATAATTCAGATATATTCACAGAATTATCATACACAGAACGTTTGAAACGAGCATAATTCAAGCAGTTTATCTGTTAACATTGCTAAATTTGCAGCAAAGGAGGAATCAGAAGTGAAGATGGTGCACACTGGCAGGCACACATCTCATATCCTACTTCCACACAAGTCCGCATGAATGTGCGCTATAGGTACCTACGTGGGTGGATGGAGAACGAGTGGTCAGAAAACAGCCAGGTAAAAGAGAGGGTGAGAATTACTCTGTTTTAAAAGCATGTTACTGCCGTTAACAGACTATCACAACAAAGTACAAACTCAGAGCTCTACCTGTGATGAAGTAATCTCACATACGTTTTAAGTCTCTCCAAACCCTGCGGAGTTAGCAGGACTTCTCCTGTTCACCAACTACGGCCTACACTGTCCCGGGGCACAGCCAAAGGCAATGCAGGATTCCCCACTGCAGGTGCCATGACTTACCGAGAACTTGTCTAATCCTATTACAAAATCGTTCTTAACAAACCATGAGTTGACCGTGGTTCTTGCTATTAATCAAGGCAGTGCAACAGTGCCTTAACCCGCCACGAGAGAAACGATCAAGTTACGCTCACGTCTCAAGTCAAACCTTTACTTGAAGCATATTATTCTGGCACACACAAAATGGTACCGCAGTTATATCAGCAATGGTCTTTCTGGTAACCACCTGCTAGACAATAGTCATTTTAAGTATATACAAAGCCAAATGGGTCTGCACTTGGTGCTGGAATTCTTCCCCAGCTGTAAAACTCACTTCCATTTCATAACTGACCATACAAATCCAAATGCAGTGTAAAAAGTATCTTTCTGTTAAATGGCAAACGTATTTAGAAACAACGCTACAAAACACATACTGCTCTTCCCCTTCCAACAAAATGATTTTTTTATTTCCAAGTAATTGTACTGAATACATTTCCTTTATATTTCTAGAACAATAATACCTCGCTGAAGATTTTCAGTATTTATCTGACTTACCAGAACGATGGTGATGTTGTTCTTCTAGGAACTCCAAGTCAAGCATTAGGTCATCTTCATCCAACTCACAGGAACCCAAGTTATTCAAAACATCCTAAAAAACATTTAGGGAAAAAAAAGAGCATTTAGACAGATGCGTTAACCAAACTGTCCTGCACAAAATAACAAGCACTTAGATCTGGAAAATACATTTAAGTAGGAGCTACAGAAAATTTTTCTGCTAACATTGGACCAGTGAGAAATTGTATGAAACCCCTGTCCAAGTAAAAAAATATCTGTCATCATTCTCTGTTTTTACAGGGTCTTGAATATTTAACAACAAAAAAAAAACCCCAAACCAGAAATAATGCCATCTGTATAACACTATTTTTTTGTACTGTTCAATAGTGGGTTTGTGTCTTTCAAAGTTTAATCATAACTTTTTATGAGGCATAAAAATGTTATTTTTAGCACAACATAAAAGTATCAGTACTTGTTTTTCATTAAATTTTGGAATTCTAAGCGTTTCCTGCCCTTACCAATATCCTCTGAAGGGAGATTTACTGTTCTATTTATCCAAGGTATAAAGAGACACAGATTTTGGATAAACAGGAAATTCAGGCACGAATTATCAACTCATGAATTTTTAAAAGTATTAAGGTGGGTGGTAAAGGCTTACACGGACAGAGAAGAAAGCCTGACTGTGAAGTGTAGCTGCTTAGGTTCTCGTTCTCGTCTTGTGATTCATTTTGTTTGCCAAGTTTTAAACACAGAGAGATAAGCAAGGTTTATACAACGCATTCTTCGAAAAGTCAAAAAGGGGGGGTACAGGATTAGATTTTCAGAAAATAAAATGACTAGTTACGTCTCAGAGGTACACATATTCACTCTGTAAACTCCAAGTACAGCAATATCATTATTTAGGCTTCATTTGGGGTCATGAAATGGCGTTCAGCTCAGCCTTTGCGAAGCCCTGCCTGGACAACCAGTGCCTGAAGCCCGACACAGGAGTGACAGTCACTCTCGTAAAAGACGCACCGCTGACAGGGACACAGCCAGACAAAGGGAGCCGTGGCTGAAGGACACCTCTCCTCTCTGCCATCCAGGGAGAAAGAGCAGCAAGGAGAAAGCAACCCACACCAGGACAGTTCACTTCTTTCTTGTTCCCCATTCCTACACTCACCACAGGAAACTTCGGAAAGTGACAAGGCAACTGTTTTCTCTAGCCCCTACCAACATAAAGTTGCTTATACTTAATGTATTAAAAAGATACATTGATTCTACGTTTTCTTCCCGTGTATATTTAATTCTATGGTCAAGCATTTACGAATTCGTATGATATGAGAAAAGGATAGTGATTTAAACTAAGGGGAATAACTAGTATCACACTATCACACTGTCTGGCGCAGGCTCTGCTGCATTTCATTTGACCTGATAATATGATTTTCTCCATAGTCACCAACATCTAATCAAAGATAATTCATGCATTCTCCAGCTGGCATCTTGTTTGAAAAACTACAAGTGATATTGCAAAAGGCTTATTTCTTCAGTCCATTTGTATTCAGTCCAGGCAAAAAACATCAGTAGATCCTGCATGAGATGCTGGCACCCCATACATCTCACATGCTCCCTCCCAACACAAATGTGGCCCAAAGAACAAAATGAATCACAAGAAGAGAACGGGGACCAGAGAACAGGGGAATCCAGTGCGAAAGGGGCCAGGTGATCGTCTCAAACTTATCAAGCTGTCTGTGAGATCTCTGTATAGCGATTTGCTGTACAAAAAGCAGAGAAATGTAACAGCAGTACACATTAAACTAGCAAAAGCCCTCCCTGACTTCAGTTCCAACCATATTTTTTATGCTCCTTCTGACTCTTTGAAGTATTTTCCCCCATCATACGTGCGAATTCTTATTCACACTCACAACTTATACTTATTCAACCCTTTAAGTACTTATTTTCTTCAAATTCTGTTTCCTACTCTTTCAGAAACAACACGCAAGCAACACAAGGACTTTTTCTTGCATTCTTTCCCTGACTTGCCATCAGCATCTTAGAAACCCACTTCTAAGATACAGAACCCACTGCTAATGCTGTTGCTATAGTTACAGATGCCAAGCACAGAAAGTGACAATTGTCAAGTGCAGAGACCACGGCACAAGCAGCATTGTACAGAAGGACAATTTACATCACATGAACACTACAGTGACATCAAATACACAACATGTTATTCCCTCTATCTTAACTCAAAGAGCTGCTGACAAGCCTTCGTCATAGTGACTGATTCCTTCCCTCACGCTGACAAAATAGACATTCAATAATCAAATTATTTATTACTGTACAGTACAAAAGCATAATGATAAAACATGAAAATAAAATACATAGATGCATTATATCAGATTACTGATACTTATGTAGACACAAACTCTTCCAGTCTGGATTTATGTTAACCCATAACAAACCCAAACTAAAACTAGTTTACTAAAAAAAAATAAAGTATGCTGTATTAAATGGAACTGGGAGAACACACATTGCTGAATGTTACAGATAGCCTAAAAGTTAAATAACTTTTGACTTGCTGTTGGAGTTAACGAAACACTGAAGATCAAAAATCCCATTTAGGGCTTATGTACATCCTTTAATACCTAAATATCTTTCAAAATATTAGCAGCAAGACACTTAAAATTTGTTCTCTGTTCTTTTCACAAATTCCAAGAGCACTGCCTGACATGACTGAAGTATCTTCAGTCCAACTGTTATCACCAGCTGTATTTCAGAAGGTAAATCAGTGACTGTGGCAAGTTACAAGCAGATGAACATAAGGAAATGACGTATAAACAAAGGAAGACTTCGGGGTTTTTTGCTCTGTTTTTAAATTTAGATGCTATTATGCACTAGAGCTTGATCAAATGGTATACTAAACTACTCAGAGAACATACAACGTACCTTATATATATAGTTTTTTATTAACTTAAGAAAAGCATTGTTGTGACAAAGTCCAGAAGAACAATCTCTGCGATTTTTAAGCAACAACTAAAAGGTTTTCATGCCAGTGCAGGCAAAATGTAAAAAGGTTGAAGTACTCAGGTTTGTTGAAGTACACAGTTTTCTAAACTGAAGAAACTCCAGCGGGCAAGATGAACCAAAAGGAGAAAGCTTGCATACCACTCTCCCCCTGCATATTATCACCTTTAAGGAAGGTCTTCACTTTCAGTAACCTTCAGAGTGGAGGGAAACCGTGCTCCATCTATCCTCTGTCCCACAACATGATGTGCACCCTGCTCCTCACACCAACATCTCTGCCTGTCCACCTGAGCTGAGGGCTCCATGCTGCCTTCCCAACGCAGCTGTGACCCCCTTAGCTTTCCCTTTCCTACAGCCTTTTTGACTGCACCAACAGTTGGCCAGTTAAAGTGACAAAGAAAAGCTCCCCCCCCAGGTTTATTCCTCTCAGAAGTACCTCCACCAGGGAAACCATCTCCCACTTTCCCCAGGAGTTCACTTGTTCTTTATAAAGAGACAAATCACAGAACCGGGAACAAAGTATAAGCAGCTACTGTCCATCGCAGTGAGAAGGAGGGCTTGGCAGAGAGACCTGCTCTACCCCCCAGGGGTGTCAGGGATGTCAATCCAGCTGCTTCCTTGCTCTCATCGCCCACCTCTGTGGGTCCAGTTCTTCCACAGACACAAAACAGAAATGAACTCATGAATGCATAAAAGCACACCCAAGCAGAGCACGTTAAGTTCCCAGGGCTGTCCTAACTGAGTAATATACTCTGAAAACATATCATTAGAAAAACAGAATAGAAAAGGGCTCCTAGAATGACCTGCCTAATGCCACAGAACGGCTCCACAGTACCCCTGTGAGTGCACACCGATGTCAGCCGCCTCTCTGCCTCCTCGCCAGGATCCATTACTCCTTTGTTGCTATGACAATTAGTAACAATTGTAATTTCTTTCTAAGTTTAATATCTCTTGACCCTTTCCACATTCTCCCCTTCACCACTGCTCCTACATTCTTTGAAGAATAACACAATTAAATTTCTAAAAAAGAAAATGAAAGCGAGAGAGAGAGAGATCAAGTCCTAAAGCGCATTCAAAGTGAATAGTTTCAAGGCTTTGCTACATAAAGAAAAATAAATGCATGCTTCTACCAAGGTCCCAAGGAAACATTTGTTGTTTATTTATGGTGGCATACCTTTTATTTATTCCAGGAGGCAAACCATTTAGTTAAGGCAGCAGCTCTGCAGCAAAAACCTCTTTATTGACTCTGTAATAGTCCCTTAGAAGCCTTAAGATATATTTTCGTATTTCTGGTGTCTGCTTCATGCTCCATTTCTACCACCATTTTGCCTTTATAATGGATCCAAAATTAACATGACAGTGCTTTTTTCTTCCAGTTAATCTGGAAGTTGATCATAATCTGTAAGAATAACCTGTGAACAGACTTAAGTAAGTCAATCACTCGGACCATGTCTCTCAGTTTTTCCTGGTCAAGACAGGCTGCAGCCCTCGTTTACCTACCATTCTTTCTCCTTTGACTCAGTGAACTACCACCATTATTTAAACAACTTTCTATTTAAACAGGAGTTTAATGGTGATATTTTATTTAAATGTTACTAATGTGACTATTTCAGAATGTTACTAATTCGGAATAAAAAGCACTAATTTGTACATCAGTTCAGGCTGCTTTTGATAGCTGATAATGGCTGTAGCAGAATAGGATGTTAATCCAATAATATTTCAACGCATCAGTAACTTTTCAGTAACAACTTTCATATTTAAAATTCTTTCAGCAACAGCAAGAGGTATAAACTGCTGGTTTTCATCTAACAGCTACATATCTTACTCAAAGCTCACTGAACTCAATGGTACTCAATTTAGTTGTGGCTGGCCCCAGACGTTCTTAATGTTCTTAAGAAATATGACCTAAGAATCATTTTATTATCAAAAGATATGCAGTGATTTGCATGGATATATTTCAGAAATAGTGCAACATTACAGGGATAGAGATGTATTCGACACAGAACTCCTCCCAGCCAGACTGTGTGTATCTGTATAGTAAGTTTACTCAGGGTTGCTGAAGAAGACTTCCCTTCCTACCTTAGTTCCCTC